TTATATCCACTTTTCACCTTATTTTTCCCTTTTTTGGTTGTTTTTTTAGGTCTTAAATTCTCCATTCTCTTTCCCCCTTTCCTCTTTCTTCCCCAGATAAAGTTACTTGTTCATTTAAGATGGCTTCTTCTTTGTCCCAATCTTCTTGTTGTGCAGTCTTTTCTTGTAGTTTCTCATAGGTACAGATCGCCATTTCTAAGAAATGAAAAACGGAGCCAAAAGAGCCCTTCCCTTCTTGTTCCTCTTCTTTATATTTTTTAAATTCCATTTTCAGTTCACCCACAAGTGATGCCATTGTAAAAAAAAATTTAAACAACCACCCAATTGTTTTTAATCATTCAAATATAATTTCCAGAAGTCCCAAAGTCACCAAACAATCCAAATACACACAAGCTGTTTCATTTAACACTTTCTTCTTTTTTCACTTTCTCTTCCTGGAGTTACTATTTAGTTACAAAGTTCCAGTTAAAATGTATCTTTTAGAAGTCTTATTACAATTTAACTTTAGATTCTTTTAAATTCCAAGCAGCCTCCTCCAGCCAAATCTTGCTCTTATTCTTTTCCTCTCCCTTCCCACTTACAGCAAAAAGTTTTTTAAGTGTTCAGAAATCTTTATTGTCCCCTTGGCATTTAATCCAGTTTAATTACCTGTTAGTGCCAAAGTGGATTTTTCCGATTTCTCATTCATCTGCTGTCAACATAAGGAAGGTGAGGAAAAAAAAAACTTTCCCTTTCATTCGCTGCTTCCGAATCTTCTTTGGGAGCGATGTATCTTTTATAAGATTTAAATTCCAGGATACCTCAGTTGTTGCTTCTTATCCCGGTCAGCCAAAACTTTCACTTCTTAACTTCCTCCTGCACTTTCTTTTCCAGCTGACTGCTTCTTTGAGGTGGCCATTTCTGACTGCCGTTCTTACCGCCTTCGGGAAAGGGAGTTTAGCCAGCTGGGGAGGAAAGATGCGGCTTCCCTCGACCCTGCTGGGATCTCCCCCCTCTTCGCACACCTCTACGGGGTGGCTTAGCCCCGAAGCCGAATGGCTCAGGACGCTCCAGCGGCGAGCCCAGGCAGAAACCGCACACGATCACGGATTCCTGCCTGCCGCCGAAGCCCTGCAAACCGGAACTCCGCTGCTTCAAAGTCTTCTAAAGCCAGGGTTTATGTCCTTATTTCCTTTCCTTTTTTTCTCTCTCCCTCCCTCCCTCCTTCCATGTATTTATCTATCCATCCATATTTACTTTCTCCTCTCTCCCTTTCTTTCTGCCCCTTCCTTCCATCCCCCTTTCTTCCTTTCACTTCCTTTCTCTCTCCCTTTTTCTTTCTTTCCCTTTTCCCTTTCTTTTCTTTCTTGTATCTTTCTTCTCTTTCTCACTCCCCTCTTTCTTTCTCTCTCTCTCCTCTCTCTTTCCCTCTCTTTCTCTCTTTCTGTATCCCCCTCTTTTTCTCTACCCCTCCCTCTCTTCCTCTTTCTCTCTCTCTCTTTCTGTCCCTTCCACCTTCTCTCTCTCCTTCTAAAGCTAGGAAGCCCACCTGAAACACACACATACACACACACACGAAGGGGTGGGATCCTCTCTTTCCCTCTCTTTCCCTCTTTCTTTCTCTTTCTGTCTCCCTCTCTTTCCCCTTCTCTTTCTCTCTCCTCCCTCTTTCTTTTTCTTTTTGTCCCTTCCTTCCATCCCCTCTGACTTTCACTTCCTTTCTCTCTCCCTTTTTCTTTCTTTCTTGCTCTTTCTCTCTCCCATCCTCTTTCTTTCTTGCCCTTCCTTCCTTCCTTCTCTTTCTCTCTCTCTCACACACACACACACACAAGCGGGCAGCGGGAGAAGAAAGCGAACTGCCCCAGGAGTTACCGTCCTCGCTGATGCTTCCTTCTCCCGGGGCTGCTCACGTCATCCAGTGGTGCTGGGTGG